GCTGTTTCGAAACACTGCTCCGAAGTGTGATTCGAAACACCCAGGTCACGTGACTACGTTTCACAAGTGTTTCGAGATGGGCATACCTGCCGAATCTGCGTTTGATTGACAGGGTCGGGAACAAACCACACAATCGCACATCTGTCTCACCCTAACTCTCACAAAGTATAAAAGTGGAGTTAACGCAGCAGAACAATTAATATTTTTAAATAAAAAGCTTTATATGTAAAAAATGTCAGACGTTGTGGCTTGATGTCTTTTATTAATGTTCATTTTTCATGACCAAAATATTTATTCACAAATAGTTCATTCAGTTGTCAGAGTATTGTTACAACAGAACAATAAAAACACGACTTTTAAATGCTTATTATAATTTCATGCATGCTTCACCCAGGATTTAAACCTAAGGTGACAGGCTCTAACATGCCAGTCAAGCACACTAACCACTCCCCCAACTCACTTGGTGGATTGACAAACACAACATATACGTTATAATTCGTCAATTCGCTTAACTGATTTGTTGTCAATACGGTTTCAGAGCAATACTTGAAAATGACCACTAGGTGTCACCGTAGAGGCGGGTTTCGAATTGTTTCGAAGCCTCGGCACATTTGCTTCGACTGTTTCAGTGTTTCACGAAGCCTCGCTCTGCCCACCACTAAATCCAAACAAAGACTTGACTTGACTTGACTTGACTTGACTTGAACAGACTTGACTTGAATAGACTTGAAATAGCATGAACAGACTAGACTCATTGAGAGCAGGTACATACATTAATACACGACAAAGAACAATGGGAACATGAGGGCTATTTGTCTCAAACACTATGGGTCACATGACAAGTGGCAGACAGTGATACATTGGAGGACCTGGGCCGTGGAGCAGTGGCAGACAGTGATACACTGGAGGACCTGGGCCGTGGAGCAGTGGCAGACAGTGAAACACTGAAGGACCTGGGCTTTGGAGCAGTGGCAGACAGTGAAGCACTGGAGGACCTGGGACGTGGAGCAGTGACAGACAATGGAGCAGAGGGGGACCTGGGCCGTGAAGCAGTGGCAGACTGTGGAACACTGGAGGACCTGGGTCATGGAATAGAGGCAGACTTGAAGGACCTGAAGGACCTGGGCCATGGATCAGATCCATAGGAGCATGGAGCCATGGCGGAGCCGGCAGAGATGGCGGTGCTCTGTGGCCGTGACAGGGCAGACAGCGAGTTTGTGAACGGCCTCCGTGGCCATAACAGGGCAGACAGCGAGTTCGTGAACGGCCTCCGTGGCCGTGACAAGACAGTCTGTGAGTTCGTGAATGGCCTCTGTGGCCGTGACAGAGCAGACAGTGAGTTCATGAACGGCCTTCTTAGTCATGACAGGGCAGACTGTGAGATCGTGAGCGGCCTCCATGGCTGTGAGACAGTGAACAGTGAGTTCATGAACGGCCTCCATGGCCGTGGCAGGACAGACAGTGAGTTCATGAGCGTGGTCTTGACCTCTGGGGCAGACTAATGGACAGGAGAGGCCTCTGGAGCGCAGTGTGCAGCCCATATGCTCAAAATCACAACTGCCATTGCGGGCGATGCAGTAGACAGTGGGAAGCCTGGCGGGCTTGAGAGCGTAGGGACCACTGGAATGTCAGCCGCTCGCACTGACATCAGTGGTGGGTCCATCACACTAGCAATCAAAAAGTCTTTTCAGTCCCCACCCAAGCTCCGCATTCGCAGGAGGCTCTGAAATAGTGGCCATGTCGTGACGAGACTCTGGACGATCAGCTGCGACGTGACGAGACTCTTGAAGATCAGCTGAAACGTGACGAGACTCTAGAGATGCACCAAGAGCTTGTAACACTCCAAAGAGAAAGGAAAAATTGAAATCACATCATATGACCCCTTTAAGCAAAAAAGCTAAGGCATTATCTAGTGTGTAATCTAATTAAGAAGACCATGACCCCAAGATCCTGCCGAAGTTCAAGCCCACAAGATCCATACCTGTGTTATGTTAATATTATTTATATAATTATAATTATTATATATTATTTTATTAATATGACAACGCTTTTATTTTTATATGTTCAGTTTTTTTAATTATTATGTCATTTTGTTATGTGCTTTTGCCATTTTTATTAGTTTTTTTTTAAATATTACTATTTAGTTCAAATTTAGTTTTTTGTTTATGACCAGTTAATAATTTCAGTGCTTCAAATTATTTAGATTTTATTAATGTTGTAAATAATCTTTTAATTTTTATTAGATTTTAATTATTGTATATTAATTTAGTTTTGTTCTTTTTATTAGTATATATATATATATATATATATATATATATATTACTACTTAGGTTTCATCTATTTTTATTTCAGTTGCAGTTTTAGGTTAGTTTTAATTTTTTATTTATTAACAGTACCAGTAATTTAAGTGCTTAATTTTAGTTTGTTTGCAAGGCAACATTTCAAATTTTGTCTTTTCAAAAGTTTCTAAAGTTTTTTGTCTAATATTTATATTTTATTTCAGATTTATTTCAATTAACAGGCGTAGTTTTAGGTAATGATAATAATATGTCCCTCCCATACCTATCTAATCGAGACCCTTTTATATCCCTAGATCTATTCTGAGAACGAACCCCGCAAAACGAGACAATGGGTTGTTATTATTCCATTATTAATCCCAATCAATTCCAAATGGCATTGATTTCTGCAGCTGTAGTTCTTAACGCAGGCAGCAGGTGTCGCCGTTTCTTCTCACTGAACAATAAGCAGCATGAGGCCAATCTACCGCCTTTATCACTATATATTTACAACAGTGCTCGCGTTCAGCTGCGCCCATAGAGGATCGAGCGAACAGAAACAATACCGTTCCCTGCCAAAAAACTGGATATCTCACAACGGTGAGTGCAGCGGACTTTTATGTTTATATCAATTTATGTTTAAATTCCGTAAACGAGATAACATCCAGTTATTTTCAGGAGGTAAAATCTCATGTCAGGGATGTGAGCCTGGGATCAACAGCAGTCCGCTGCTGGATATAGAGGCGAAGAAAGGACCCTTATCAGCCACTAACTCATGCTAACTGACCTGCTAACTGTAGCCGGAGGATTGTTACATTCACTGTTCATTAGCTACCTTACGGGTTTGGTAGTTTCAAGCTAAAATCTGTATACTCTGGTGGTCTGTGTCTAACAGTTTCAGTCCCTGTCCAGCTAATTTAAAGACTTAGCGGCTGATCCTGAGCGTTAGCGTTTGGCTTTCCTGCCGCAGATGATTGACGAGTCTCTGGTTGCTCCGGTTGACTGACCGGTCAAATGTATAGGCTATACGTAGGTTTCTTGTCCTAACGTGTTTCTCTTTAATGTGACTCTCACCTGGCTTTTATCTGTCTGGCCTTTAATGCGTCAACGATACATTGTAGCAAACCACAGGCTTGTACGTTGTAACAGAATTCTTCATTATATTGTAGCATAGTAAGCGTGAAAGAGGGCAGTGCTTTCCTTTCATGTCAGTGGTCAAGTGCACATCAAGTCCATCTGTTTATTAAGAACAGAATTGCAATGAATCATTGAACTCCTTACATAAATTGACAATGGTAACAACAGTCTCTGCCAAAATTACATAGTTAATACAACGATCGAGTACTGTACTTCTGTTCAAATAAGCTTTTCAGCAACCTTTCTGTCCATGTCATGACTGTACAGTTTAATATGATGTTACCACAATTACTGTTGTAGTAGCTAAGACTAGTAGAGAAGTTGACTTAACACAGACTAGTGATGGATTCCATGTATATATACGATCCTTCAAAAGTATGGGGTCAATAAGATTTTTTTTTTTAAATGAATAATTTTATTCAGCAGGGATGCATTAAATTGATCAAAAGTGATAGCAAAGACATTTATAATGTTACAGAAGTTTTATATTTTAAATAAATGCTGTTTATTTTGGAGGAAACTGGTTACCATAGTACCTTTTTTCTGTAGGAGACTTTATCTTTTATAAGCTAGTTCAAACATGCTGAGCATATTAAAAAACCCATGTGAGGGGAAAAAAAACTAATATAAAGCGAATACTCTGTGCTATAAAGAGACTGATGCTGATGCAAATGAAAATGAGAATAACCAATGTACTGAGCAGTCTGACATCTTTACTGCTTAAATTAGTCTGTATGCTGGATTTGATTACCATGCCCACTTATATTCATTGGGATAATGCATTATTAATAATTATTACCATAATAAATGTTACTGCCTTTATTGTTTATACAAGCTAGGGTTCACTAGACATTTTTTGCATTTGCATTTATATTTTAATGTTGATCTCAAATTATGAGTAGTACTAGAACTAGTAGAGTAGGTAGTATTAGGTACTATCACGTTGCATTAAGCGTGCATTGCATAAAGCCTTTCATGGGGAAGAACTGCCTGAATTGCCTTCCTGTATTATGAGGAAGAATTTGGCCCCTTGTTAATGGAGCTTGTTTGGATGATAAAGTCTCCCGCTGGTGGGAAAATAAGAATGTTAGAGCCCCGTGGCTTTCATAGCACCTCCCTAATGCCTTATACCCTGTTTGTTTCACATATTTATAGTGAATAATACAGTATATTCATTACTCTAAAACCAGTCAATTTTGCTGTTCTGGTAAATATTGTCATGCCACATTATGGGTACAGAAGTTTGTTTCTTGTGTGAAGGCCAGTCAATGAATTCTACATAATATGGCTTTACTTTTTCACAAAACTATTGCGTATTGTAAGGCAGGATGTTCATTTGCAGTTCATTAGGAAATTATGACTTGACTGGCGTCTAAAAGATTCTAATTGTGCAAAGAAACATGAAAGATGATACAATTATTGATGCTATGGTATTTTTCTCTTTCCAGGGAGCCATAATTAATCCATTCTGGATGTACAGAAGCCACTCTGTCTCTGTATGGAAAAATCGCTTACTTGTGAAAACATTGGTGCTTCTGTAGTGAACCGCAGACTACTTTTGGGGACAGTATGTTCAACTTAATGAAAAAAGACAAGGAGAAGGATGGCGTTAGGAAGGAGAAAAAAGACAAGAGAGACCGGAGGGAACGGATGTCAGCAGCTGAGCTCCGAAGCCTTGATGAGATGAGCATGAGACGGGGTTTCTTCAACCTCAACCGGAGCTCCAAACGGGACTCCAAGAACAAGTTGGAGATCTCGAACCCGATCCCTATTAAAGTCGCCAGCAGCACTGAGCTCAACCTGACTGACATTGAGTCGGATGGCCTCAGTAACCGCAGCAGCATGGTCCTGGATGCAGATCAGCTCAGCGCAGCCAGTTCCAGTGACGATCTGAAGGGCGATTACGGCCAAGATGGACACCGGAGCTCTGTCAAGGAGCGGGCGGCCAGGTTCGGCTCCCTCGCCATGCAGAACTCGCAAATGGGTTCCATCATGAAGCGCTTCTCCTTTTCTCAGAGGAATAAAGATGAAAGTCCATCCGAAGGTTCCACACCTTCTGGGCAGAACTCGGCTGCCCCGTCTCCACAGGTTGAAACCAAGATCTTTGACCCCCAACGTAAGCCAAGTCTTCAGCATCATCAGCAACAGCCTTCTACTGGGAAAAAAGTGCAGGTTCCTGAGATTGTGGATAAGACGTTTCCAGCGGACCTCCGCTTGCCTGCTGTAGTGCCCCCGCAGACGCCCGAAGTTCGGGAGCTGGTTCTCCAGAGGCGGAGCACTGGAGATTTCGGGTTCTCCTTGCGACGCACCACCATGTTGGACCGTGGCACGGATGGAGGGGTATATCGCCGAGTGGTCCACTTTGCGGAACCAGGTGCCGGCACCAAGGACCTGGCTCTTGGTTTGGTCCCCGGAGACAGGCTGGTGGAGATCAACGGGCGAAATGTGGAGAACAAGAACAGGGATGAGATCGTGGAGATGATTCGGCAGTCAGGCGACACGGTTCGGTTGAAAGTTCAGCCCATCCTGGAGCTAAGCGAGCTGAGCCGATGCTGGCTGAGGAACACCGAAGGGCTGCGGCGGGAAGCATTTGACGTAAGTCCACACTTTCTCTCTCTTCTCTCGTTCATGATCACAGTCTTTCCAGGTAACTTCCCACAAGCCTGCCCAGCTCTTACACATGTGGAGCCAACTGGCTCTTCTCAAGAGTACAAGCACATCATTTAAGATGAACATGTTCTTGTGCAACAGGAAGCAGATTCCTTTCCAGGATGAACATCTGTCACAATGTGTCTAACAGAATCTTTTCTTCCTCTTGCTGTCCACAAGTGATGACTTTAATGACAGGCTTTGAAACAGTTTTGATTGTGTTTTTCTTCGCAGTTTGTTGTGCAATAGTTGGACACAGCGCGACAGTAAATTCAGATTTTCCTCGTGAAAATTTCATATGCAACAGCACACAATTTACAGTTTAGTTTTGGTATGTAACGATAAATTGCACTTTGCTGTTGATTCTGGTTAGGCACATTCTTTTGTGTGAGATGAATGTGATGAATGGGCGGCACAGCTCTTTCGTTTTTCCTTCAGAGAGGGAAACCATTGAGACTTATCTGTCATGTTATGCGCTGCTTCCTTGTTAGATAACAGATAAGAATGGCACTTGGGCGTAAATGTTTTTTCTTTCTTTAGGATGGGTGGAGGTTGTGTCTTTATTAACTGGCCTGTTTGCCATTACTTGGATGGATCCAATCTGGCATGCTGTCGTGCCAAGCTGCACATGTAGATGCTGAGACGACTCACAAAGCTTCCTCCTACAGTAGCCACTGAGGGCATTATGTAACTACACTCATTGGATTCCTAGCATTTAGCAATGTTGTTTACTTGCTTGGAAAAAACAGTACATTCAATTAACATACTCTTTTGCTGAGTAACATGCAGTTAGGAGACCTCGATAATTTGTTAAAAGGTATTCTGAAGCTGTCTGTGAAACATGAGAGCTCACAACAGAGAAGTGTGACACACAAGTGCGCACTGAAACTGAATCTGAGTGCATCTGAATCATTAGATGTGTTTGTGTGGGGAAAAAAGGTGTTGGTCGTTTGATAATTATTCCCTTCAGTTTGCTGTTTGCTGACAGTTATGAATTTAAATGGTCCCTTTGCAGCTACTGTTTATTTCTTCAGGGGATTCACAATCCTCTAAGGGTTCACGAGAACTCTGCTGTGGGTTTTACAAGATGCAATGCCCAAATTAAATTGACAAATAAATGTTTGCAGCTACTGTTTATTTCTTCAGGGGATTCACAATCCTCTAAGGGTTCACGAGAACTCTGCTGTGGGTTTACAAGATGCAATGCCCAAATTAAATTGACAAATAAATATTAAATAAGATTTAAATGATTAAATAATAATTGATTAAAATAACATTACATTATTAAATTAAATGATGAAATAAAATGATTAAATCATTAAAATACTAAAATATTTCATTACATGACTTAAGTGTGACATTTATATTTAATAAATGCATAGTGTTATAATTTTATGGGGTACGTAATGTAAATAATGTAGGTGATATTAGCCATTCTCTGACATGAAGCACATTAAACTCGTTTTACAGTAAACAGATCTACTATTTACACATGTAACGGCTTTCCTTGTTTTATCCATATTGCTGCCATTTATTTAACACCAAAATGCTGTTAACACTGTGTGATGTAATTCGTCATTCGTTTTTGTGTCTGTCTATTTTGGCGACATTTCTTTCTACACTGCAGATAATCACAATATTTAATGTACAACTAAACTGTGTTGAGTAATTGTGTCAGCTCCTTCAGAAACTCTTTGACAGCAGACTTATGTCAGGGCATTCTAGCACATGCTCAAAAAGCTATGCTTATGGCTTTAATCACAAAAGTCAATTACAATTAAATCAAATCACCTCTAAATGTAAAAAATGTTGTAGTTACAGAAAAAAAAAAAGTTGCATTTGTCGATTTATTTATTTATTTGAGAAAAATGAGAAATCCCTGGCCGTCTGTCTATTTTGGCGACATTTCTTTCTACACTGCAGATAATCACAATATTTAATGTACAACTAAACTGTGTTGAGTAATTGTGTCAGCTCCTTCAGAAACTCTTTGACAGCAGACTTATGTCAGGGCATTCTAGCACATGCTCAAAAAGCTATGCTTATGGCTTTAATCACAAAAGTCAATTACAATTAAATCAAATCACCTCTAAATGTAAAAAATGTTGTAGTTACAGAAAAAGTTGCATTTGTCGATTTATTTATTTATTTATTTGAGAAAAATGAGAAATCCCTGGCCTTGATGGTTGCTTCTGTAAAATGTTAGCCAAATGATCATTTCGGTTGAGGAATAAAGAGTGTTAAAAGGAATCCTAAGTGTTTTTGTACTTGTTGAAACAGCCCCTGGTCTCTTTGTAGTCAGTCATGGCCTAGAGCAGGTGAAGAGCAGCTGTATTTCTGCAGGCCGAACTGACTTACAGGTGCCTGACAGCAAAAAGACAGAGCACTTGCACAACTTTATCATCATCTTCATCATTACTGCATTTACATGATAGAAAACGAGCTGTATAGCCTAGAGTAAGGAAGGACCTGCTTCTCAGGTTCAGCATTTGTGTCCATGATAAATCTTAACTCAAGCACTAACGTCAGGCTAATGGTACTATACTGCTGTAATGGGCTTAGAAAAATAAAGTGATCATCAGCCCTGCCTGTTTATGGAACCACATGTTTGTGAAAGGCTTCCTAATGGATTTTTCCTATGGAATAGTCTTAACTTTAATTGATAGGCCAGATTTGTGACAGCATCATAAATGAAGCACTTCCAGGAAACTCAAAATTTGTTTAGCTTAAAATATTGAGTGATTCTTGCCCATTTGGTATCGTAACAATTAGAACCAACCGATTCATCATGTGCTTCTGCAAATTAGTCACTGGCGAGCACCTCTATCTCATACCAAGAGTGGGTCTGCTGTGCTATTTTGGGTTTTACCAACAAACAAGAGGGACTTGCTTTGCTGCATAGTTCTTAGTCAGTCTCCCCGCTGTAGTCATTATATGGTTCATTACATGGCCTCAGGTCAGTGAGAGTATTCTGTGCAGGTCACCCTGACTCTCGCCCCACCGTCAATCTCTCTCTCGTCTTTTGGCAAGCTGTGCTACAGGCATTGTCTGGAACATCTAATATGTCCTCTGAGAGCATTCATTTTTAGCTGCTTTTGTTGTGGAGCTGTTTTAAAATAAGGACTGGCAGAATATACTCCAGTGTGTGGAAGTGATTGTTTATTGATTGAAGTGATTGTTGACTTTAGGATAGACCAATATATCGGCCAGTCAGGTTATTCAGGTGATATCTGGCCATTTTAACCAGTTTCACTTGGCTGAAGTTTTACTTTATCCCATCCAGATTCTACTGAAACTTGTCATTGGATTGTATTTCTGTTTGTTGAACTTTTTATCAGTTTTTTTTTCTTTAATTTTATTGAATTAAGTAAAGGTTAAAAGGGTTGGTTCAACCAAAAATGAAAATTGTCATCATTTACTCAACCTCATGTTGTTCCAAACACTTAATACTTTTGTTCATCTTTGAATCGCAAATGAATGTGTTTTTAATGAAACTTTAGAGATTTCTGTCCCTCCAATGAAAGTCCATTACACCAAAACTTTGGCGCTTTTGGCGCAAAAGTAATCCATTTGAATCGAGTGGTTTAATCCAAGTCTTTTGAAGAGACACAATGTCTTTATGGACTGGACTTTTGGAATGGACTTTTAATAGAGGAATAGAGATCTCTTAGGTTTCATTAAAATATATCCATTAACCTTTTAATAACTTTAAAGTGTCTTGTGCTATTTTTAAATTGTATTATGCATAAAACATTATATTGGCTAGTATGGCTACCCTAACTTTACTTTTATTGACACCGGCAATTGAGAAATCCATATTGGTTATCCAATAATTTACATTTCACTTTTTTCAACTTCAAAACAACACTCCACTATATACAAAGGTGCCACAATGCTGCCTGACTTTTAATTTTGTGATTGGTTAAGTTGTCATTTTTCAGCCCATCAGCCCAGTTTGTCAGACAGCAATTGACATCAACGTTTAGGCAACAATTAGGGAGTATACTTGTGATGTGAAGCACAAAAAATAAAAAAAGCACTTAAGTATGGGTGTCTTGAAACATGTTTCCTAAAGTTGAATGATTTTTGAATGCACATCCCTATTATAAAAGTGAGTTTGGAACGGAATATTTGACAAACAGGAAGTGAAGCTCTGGACCTTTGTTCTGGTGTGGATGTGATCTCGGGTAGTTGTGTTTTGTAGCACGTGTCTGTGGAGGATCTGTGTTTGTCTGTGTGATGTCTGGAGGGCTGCACTGATTTGTGGGCCTCACTGAGCAGCGGGAGCCATTCTTGGCCCTATTGTCTCAGAAAACAAGTAGCAACAGCTTTATCATTAATCCAAATAAAGACGAGTCGTAAAACAATCATGTCCCAGTGCAAACAAAAACCAAGCGGATGGAGTTCACGACGGTCTCATCAAACAGGCACAGCTGGGCTCTGCTGCTTCTTTGAGAGAACTTCTTGATTGACCTTTTACTTTCGACATCTTTATTGCTTAATGTTGCTGTTTTTGAGTCTTAGGTTAAGCCATGATTTTCTGGACAACGTTTCAGGGCAAGGTACTGCTTTGATAGTAAACATTGAAGATGATGTGGATTGTTACGTAAACTAGATCTTTACTGAAGAAAAAATTGCTAAATTTATCGCTAGGGTGTTTGGTTGGTTGCTAGGTGATTGTTGACCCAAGTGAAAAGATCAAAGGATTATTCTTTATTCTTGCTTGGTAATTTGATTACTAATAATATACACGCTATTTTGATGGTTGGAAATATTTTTGATGTGCTTTTGTAATTGAGTTTGGCAAAGAATGCAACTAGGTACTTCCCCTTTATTGCGGGAATGTCTTTGGAGTGGCTGAAGAATGGTATGTTATTCCCGCTGTTCCCTATTCCTTAGAAGAAAACAGCGAACATACAGGAAGTCCTCTATTCTTCTAGGCACTG